GAAACACACAACTTTCCTCTAGCTCTTTGGTGCTTCCTTCCTCCCATGATCATGACCTCAATTCTACCTTACAAATCAAATTAGACCAGAGCATGCACACTGCTACAGATAAGAGCCCGCAACACAGGGAATCCAGGTTAGATAAATCCCTCAGGGCCAACAAGGAGAGTAGAGATACCAGAAGGATTAGGGTAGGGGGTGGGGAACAAGGGGGAATCGATCACAAGTATCAATCTAGAACCCCCTCCCAGGGCAATGAATAACGGAAAAGTGGGTGAGGGGTGATGAAGGACAATATAAGATATGGAAAGAATAATCTATAACTTATCAAGGATTCATGAGGGAGGGAGGGTGGGGGAGGCAGGGGGAAGAAATGAGGGCTGATATCAGGGGCTCAAGTGGGAAGAGAATGCTTTGAAAATGATGATGGCGGCATATGTGCAAATGTGCTTGACATAATGGATGAATGTATGGATTGTGATAAGAAATGTAAGAGCCCCCAATAAAAGTATTTAATAATAATTTTTTAAAAAGAGTTACAGTCTTGGACATCCCCAGGGGCAGTTCTACCCTGTCCTATAGCGTTCCTGTGATTCAGGATTGACCAGATGGCAGGAAGTCTGCTTGTCTGTCTGGAATCTAATATTTGCTAAGGATTTTTCTTGCTGCCACCCTGGTTGCTGGAGGTGATGGAGGCAAGGCTGCAAGAAACACAGCAATATTTCACAGAAAGTATTTACTTTGAAATGAAGACTCCCCAGATGCATAGATAAGCATGCACAGATTTTTCCTGGACCACATAGCCACGCCTTAATTTTTTAAATCATGAAAAAGTGCTACAGACATTAATAGAAGAAATGCAGCCGAAATGTTCCTTGGGTGCAAGAATGAAGAGGCCTTGACTCCTTTACTTGGGACATATCATCAGGAAAGACTGAGCCCTAAAGAAGGTCATTGTACAAGGGAGCCCTCAATGAGACGGAGTGACTCACCAGCCACCACAATGGGCTCACGCCTGCCAACCATCATGACGGCAGTGCGGGACCAGTATAATACCTGTAGAAGGTAGGTCGCCATGTGTCTAAGTGGAGCACGTGGCATTAAACAACAACTACTGGGATCAATCTTTCAAATGAGAATATGAACGTATGGACGTGTTCGACATTTGAATTCAAGCTAAATTGGGTTAAAACCCAACCAGCCTCATGCCCCAGTGCTCTGCATCTCTGCAAGAAGTTATTCACTGTTTCCCACCCCCTAACTTTATTAAACTAAAATTTTAACACTACAGATTGGGTTTTTTTGTTATAAAAAAAATGAAGAGGCGAGAGATGTATTTTCAGCTGTTAACATTCCACCCAGCTCCTTTTTCGCCTCCTGCAGGTTCCAAACGCCGAGAAATCACTCATACATTCAATTCAGTGGCAAGTGGGAGGCTAAGTCTAGCTGGAAAAGTACTACAGATGCAAGCAACACCCTGCTCCATGAAAAGAAGCAAAGTGCATCTTCATTTCTGCATGTAAAAGATGACAATGGCTAATCACTTCATCTGAATCAGAAATCATTGTTTCTTGCTATTTGGGGGCAACTCAGGATTTCACATAATCACATAAGGCATTTCATAGCATTAATTTACCAAGGAGTCATTAATCACCATTACTTCAACCTGTGGCACACAATGAGAGCACAAACTAAAATATCAGTGATAATAAACATCAACACACACACACACACACACACACACACACCTCTACATTTCTCCAGTGTTAAAACTTCACTATTAACTTTTACTCTGAACGCTCAAGGTTTAATGCTTGTTTCAAAGCCAAATTTAAACCAAGCCACAACTTGGCTTACAAATGTATCCGAATAGGGTCATCCGAAGGAGTTCTGGCGGCTTCATGGTTACACGTTGGACTGTGATCCACAAGGTCAGTCCAAAACTCCTCGCCATTTCACGGGTGACAGACCGGACTTTCTACTCCATCTCAGACACTCACAGGGCAGTTCTACCCTCGCCTACAGAGTCACTATGAGTCGGCACCGACTCTGTGCAACCAGGGGCCTTAGCCGTCCATCTTTCTCTCACTTCAACGTAAGACCCAGAATTTCAGAAGACTCGCTGCCATCAGGTTGAGTCAGGTTCATAGTGACTTTATGGAACTTCAGAGAATCGTCACCAGGGGTTTCTGAGACTATGGCTCTATTGGAGTAGAAAACCTCATCTTTCTCTAGTGGACTGGCTGGTGGTTTTGAACTGCTGACCTTGAAGATAGCCTTCCAATAAGTAAAGTAATGCACTACACCACCCAGAATTAGAAAATCAATAAAGCTGCTTGTGATATTTAGGTTTATTGTGCCAACATGGCCAATAGGAACATATGGGATTTTTCAGGTCACAATTTGATTGGAGGGAAGAGAGATAAATAGCTCTGCAAGGCCCAACCTCGGCTCTGGGGCTCTCTCTGGTGCTTTAGAGTTTTCTGCCTCTACCTGTGTGCTACACCACCTGTGGGCCCAGCCAACCTGTAGGTCGTGGATCATGTTGCTAGAGCTTAAAGCTCCTTTGAGACCTGCTTCGCCATGCTGCTGGTGTGTACATTCCTTGAGCTTGAGCCTGGTGGATCCTGTGGCCTTGAATTGTTGAGTTGGGTATCCCAGCCTGCTACCCTAAGCAACCAAGCTACCGGCAATTGCTGACCCACCTTGCTGTTTGCTGCCTGTGGGTAGACTCTGCCTGCCTTGCCTGCTGGAGGACTCAGCTACCTGCTTCCTTGAAGGACTTCCAGTATATTAACTAAAGTGAGTTGAACTGGGCCCTCTGTACTGCTGTGTAGACTAATTAGCTGTCATATTTCTTCTCACTAGATAAACCTATCTTCTTGTATATCTAGAATCCTAAGTGTCCTGGTCATGTTTCTCTAGAGAACCCTGCCTAACACACTGCTGAAAAAGTTGGTACTTTAAGAACTGTTCACAAAACCAATTACTTTCAAATAGGCTTTATTTTGAAACGACTCCCATATTTGTGTACATGTGATTACAACACATCTAGTCCGATTAGTCACATAGGGAAGTTACAGTTCATGTGTTTCTTCCCACTGATGGTAAACGTACAAAGGTGCAGCTAAACTCCAAGGCCAGATAATTTTAAAAAAATCATAAGCTATGTAAACATTTTCATTTCATACTAATATCGAAATACTATATATAGAATTGCTAAAAATCACTAAGTTGAAGGACATGCTGCTTGGATCATGAAAATCCGTTTCCCTTTAAACCGTAACGTTTGGATAACCAAGCACCTCGGACAGGCTGCTTCTCTTCCTCCCATAAGGCAGCATGAGCCGTTCTCTATTTCGGTCACGATCTAAGTAGGGCTGGTTTTGTCAAGAGGAAGCATTTTAGTATGTTCTCCCAAAGAACTTCAAAATTTACTGAGGAATGCGTCAATGTACAATCTGTGAAAGTAGGCATGCAATAATGATGCATGAGTCTTTATAAAGAAAACACAGCCGGTAGCTAATTAAGCATGAATGAAAGGAGAAACATACACTGGAAACCTCTCTCACCACACAGGGTTTGTGAGGCAATTCGGACTTAGCCCCCCAATTATTCTATAACACCAAAACCATTTCTGCATCCTGAGGAGAATTCTAAAGTCCCAGAGAGAGTCAGTAGACCATTTTTATAGGACTAAGATCTAAAAACAAATAGAACTGGCTTCTCCAAGAACAAACTGAAGAGAAAATAAGGCCCAAAATACTCCACGGGAAGTTGAATTGTCAGTAGGACAGGTTGTAGGAAAATACTGAACTTGGGGGCCGAAAACTGGTTCTTCCAGTTACCTGTTCACAGAGGCAGAACAATGAAGCTCTTTGAATATCTACTTCTTGTCTATGAAATTGGTACAGTAAGATCCACGATCATTCCAAAGATTTCAGAGCAATATGATTCCAAGATAACAATGTATTTGATATCACTTTGTAAATTCTAAAACCGTTTTCTTTGTAAATGGGGATTTGGCGATGCTTCAAAGGTATTAAGGATAAAAATCTACATAAGATACAATTGTCAAATAATCTATTTCCCCCCCCAGGTTATATTCCTATTCAATAGGAACTGGTATAGAGTAGCTTCATTTTCTTTTCTTTCTTCCTTTAAAAAAAAAAAGTTAGATTTCTTTAAGGCAAAACTTGAGATACATTTGATAAGCAGATACATTTGTCAAACCACAAGACTGAACTGAAAATGTTGATGCTTAATTTATGCATGTTCAAAATCAAGGAATCCAGACACTGACATTTTAAGAATGAATACACGAACTTCAGGACAACATGTTAAGCTTCCCTCACACATCCCGTGGTCGCTAACTGATAGGCAGACCGCATTTTCTGCGGAGGACAAAATGGGCCATTGTCCGGGCTTTTCCCTGGCCAGTAGAGACACGAGTCCAGAAAGCAGACCAGCCAAGAGCTTAGAAATCTCAGCTCCGTTGTCTTCACAACAGAATTGGGTCTAAAATATTGGCCTCAGCAGGTTCATTTTGTCAGTGTGAGCAGAGTTAAGTCATTGATGGTCTACTCATTTCTCTGATGATACAATGCTACTGGAGCATAACACATTAGTTAAAGACTTTATTCACCAAAGACCACAAAATATACTAGCCTTAAAAACAGTGAATAAAACTCCCTTCCCTACAATATTATGCCACATTTTAATTACAAAAAACAAAGACATCAATAATTCATCCTATTTATCATGACAGATCATTAGTGAACTTAATCTAGCCACCAAGTCCCAGGCAGACTGTTTGAATGCTTATATATTTATAAATTAAAACCTTATTTACCAGGAGCTTGGTAGCATAGTGGGTTAGGCGTGGGACTATTAGCCACAAGGTTGACATCTCAAATCTATCAGCTACCCTGTGGGAGGAAGATTAGGTTTTCTGCACCTTTAAAGATTTACAGCCCCAGGGGCAGTTCTACTCTGTCCTAGGGGTTACTTACTACGAACTGGAACTGACTTGATGGCAGCGATGTCGGTGTTTGTGATCTTTGGTTGGCTGGTTGGTGGGTTGTGAACCTCAGTTACACACTGTAGCACTGCACGTCCTTTGGTAAAGCAGTAGTTGCTAACCAGTCAAGTCCAACGACCATTTTCCTCAAGCAGAGATTCAAAAGCAGTTTAAGAGAAACGATTTCATTTTAACGTGAAAACAGTAAGCCTAGGGGTTATTGCAAACGGCTTTTCAAGTGGGTCGGCCTCTCACTTAGAGGAAACCGAGGAAAGGAGAAGTACAGCGCACTCCATTGGTCTCAGGTGATGGTATGTGCTCAGTTGCAATGTTTTAAATTACAAGTAAGCAAGTAGAACGTTAAGACTTGGTGTGAGAAACTGGACAATGGTCCAGCAAATTCCATCCAAAGACAAAGTCATTTTTTTCCTTCACAATAACTCACCAGAAAAAAATGGGCACAGAAGGGCCTTAAGGAGCTCCTGAAGTATTCTTTAGAAAAAAAAACATTGAAAAATTTTAGAACCGCAAGAATAGAACATTGTTTAAAAATAAGGCTTTCTTGAAAGGCAGTCACCTGCTAAATCCAGTAGAAAGTAGCAGCTCTGTCTCTATAACTCATCGTGCTTATATGTAAATTCTCTGGCAGATATAAATCCATCTTTGTCTTCGTCTTCTTTATCAAAAATATCCTCCACCAAAACGTCATGATGACTTTCATTCACCACCGCACCATGCTTTTCAAACTCCTTCTTTAAATACACTTTAACCTACAAAATAATGGACTTCATTAATAATTTTCATTCATATGATACCCTCATTGAGCCAATCAATAGCACAGACATATGAACTAGAAATTAACTATGTATAACTTACTACATATTATCAATTCGTATGAATATATTAGAGGGGCTTCAAAAAGTTTGTGGAAGAATTCTCTGATCTTTCAATTCCATTTCCTGAAGCTCACTCGTATGTATTTAACTATGCTTGCATGTATGTTGACATAACTACTAAACAACTACTACATGGTATATTTCTAATCGTAAAAGAATTATAAGAAACCTTTTCCCTGGAACACTGATGCTTGACTGCTGTACTTGAGGCATAGACCGTCGCTGAGAAGCAAGCTCAAGGCTTACCACGTGTACAATCCTTATATCAGGCATAAGGCTTACAGCAGGTGCCCTGGTGTTGT